GTGGGAGGCTTAACCAACTGAGCCACCCAGATGCCCCATAAACTGCTTCTTTAAAAAAAAAAATCTGATATGCCCCTGCCCAGGGACATTCATGCTATATTGAACCACTGTGAATAATGAGAATGTATTATAATGTTCAAGCACATTCTTCATAAAAATGGAAAAACACCACAAATCTTCAACTCTATATATTCACATATAAGGAACTTGATGCCTAGAATATTATCATCCCCTCACCCCCCAAATAATGTATCTCCTGCTGGAACCAAATCTAAAGCTTTCAGTCCAGTGTACCTTCTGTCTAGTGTAGGTTACAAACTGTAATCCACAATTAGGATTTTGTCACAGGTATTCATGTAATTTATCAGTCTACACTCAGCAATATTTGAATATTTTTAACATCTAAGACATGTTAAAAAAGGTTTTCTTCCTTTTGTCTTTGCCAAAATTTTAAGTTATTCAGTCTAATTGGTCTGCTCTTTTTACAACTATGTCACTATATAATACTATTATAGAAGAACAAGTTTCTTTTTATTCCTGTGGTCATTCTCCAGGCTCAGTGGCTTGAAAATCCTTAAGATCCTCTCACTTATGGGAGGTTCAACAAAACAGAATTTGTGAAACCTCTGAGTACACAGTATTTACTTTCTATTGTTTTTCAACATTTCCAAGTTAAGAAGCTAAGAAATCATCTTTTCTTTTTCAAGAAAATATACACTCTATCATCACAAAGATACTTAACATTTCTGGGGTGCCTGGGTGGCTCACTTAGTCCCTTAAGCCTCCGACTTGATCTAGGCTCAGGTCATGATCTCAAGGGTCGTGACATCAACCCCCATGTTGGGCTCCGTGCTGACATTTCTTGGAGCCTGTTGGTATTCTCTCTCTCCCTCTCTCTCTGCTCCTCCTCTATGCTCATACTCTCTCCCTCCCTCCCTCCTCTCTCTCTCTCTCTCAAAATAAATAAATAAACAGTTAAAAAAAAAAAAAAGATGCTGAACATTTCTGTCATACCAAAAAGGATTAAATGTATGTACCAGGTGTCAAAAGATTTAGCTCTCAGACTCTATGATCCTTCTCTGTTCAGTTAGAAATGTTTTGAGGATATCAAATATTATGAAATATGCATCATTATTTTCCATTAACATTGTTTTACTTATTCTGGGAGAATACAAAATTTGAAAAAAACTATTTTCTAAGCAGTATTTTTATTAAGACCTTCACATTTAGAGCTTAATGTAATGATATCAAAAACGTGAATACAGAGGAATGAAGATTAGGGGGAAATCTCATCTAGCCTCATGCTTCCATGGAGAGGAACTACCACTAGAACAGCAGTTCTCAAAGGACATGTTTTTGGTCTTGGGAGTGTAGGAAGAACATTCTTCATGGAGCTGGACCTCTATGTTACACAATATTTACCATCCCTAAACTTCAGGGTCCCAAAAGCCAGTATCTTTTAAAGACACAATAATAATTTAAAAACACCTCCACTTACAGGACTCCTGGGTGGCTCAGTCAGTTAAGCATCTGACTTCGGTTCAAGTCATGATCTCTCCATTTCCCAGTTCAAGTCCTGCGTGAGGCCCTGTGCTAATAACTTGGAGCCTGGAGCCTGCTTCGGATTCTGTGTCTCCCTCTCTCTCTGCCTCTACCCTGCTCATGCTCTGTCTCTCTATCTCTCAAAAATAAATAAACATTAAAAAAAAATTTAAAACACCACTTATTTCAAAAGGCCCAAAGGGCTCATCGAGAGTGGAAAATCAGAGCACTCGGTTAACAGTCCTGGCCTCAGGTCCTAACTCCTTACTCACAGCTTCCCAACATAAGAGTTATCTGATTGGTGACTGGTGGCTGAAATCTATTGGTCCATATTACTCCAATGGGTAGATATTAGCTATTAGAAACCCGTAAATACTAGAGGTTTTCCTTCTTTTGCTTCATTTATAATTCTGGGTAAAGGTACCTTTTCTGCAAACTGAAATGATCTCTGACTCAAGTCTAGGATCTAAGAAAAGAAGTGGAGGTAGAAGGAGGCAGGAAGTTCTAGTACTCATTTTTGATCTCCCATCCAAAGCACTATGCCAAATCAGCTCTTCAGTAAGGAAGGCGATATTGCAAACTCCCTCTGTCGGTTTATATACCCGAGAGAGGGAGGGAAAAAAGCTATTTTTTATTGAGCCCCTAAAAACTGTAATTCCATTAGAATGCTTTCTCTAATCCATTTATCTTTTCATCAGTTTCTCTACCAGCAATGGAGCTGATAAAGTAATACTCAAATACTAAACAGCTCAAAAAAAATTATAAATGATACGGAAAACAACAAGAAAAAATATACTCATGTTTATTACAAAAGCAATATATACTTTGTCTTCTCAGTGTTTTCCCTTTCTGATGATAATATCTACTACAGATGCCCACTTTTATTAATAAGCCTAAAGAAACTTTAGGAAACAAAATAACTCCATTTATAGCCTTTATTTTCATAGAAATAAGGAAAAGAGCCACAGTGGAACCAATCACAATATTTTTTAGCCAAGGGAAATTAAAATAGTATAAAAGAGGACTCAAATTGAAGAAAAGAGTTCTAGGAGTCAGGTAATGGTATTCAAGTTGCACGTCCTAACCAGTTTCTCTTTGTCCAAAATGGACTTTGATAGAAGAGAAAGTTTATGTATTTAATGTTTATCTCAAAAATACAATTTAACATTTTCTCAAAATATTTGACAATGATTTCTCTTTTAATTAGCTTAAATATAAGACTATCCTTTAAGAAAATAATCAAAGGGCATTTGAAAAAAATTATAGCTTAGATGGCTTTGAAAGACAACAACAGGGGCGCCTGGGTGGCTTAGTCGGTTAAGTGTCGGCTTTCGCTTAGGTCATGATCTCGCGGTTCATGGGTTCGGGCCCCACGTTGGCTCTGTGCCAGCTCAGAGCCTGGAGCCTGTTTCAGAGTCTGTGTCTCCCTCTCTCTCTGACCCTCCCCTGCTCAAGCTGTCACTCTCTCTCTCTCCTAGAAATAAATAAAACAGTAAAAAAAAAAAAATTAAAAAAAAAAAAAGAAAGACAACAACAACTTACTGAGCATTTGTATTCCTGTTAATTAAATGGTATTAATAAAAAAAGGATTGACTTAAGATGCTGAACTAAAGAAAGCTCTGGTAACATGGATGCATTGTGGAAAAAAGAAAAAAGACCAATTTCTATTCCCAGCTATGTTCTCAGTCACTCTTTGGGATGAGGCAAGGGGTAGAGTAATTTCCTTATCCCTCAAGAAGTTGACTCAAAATTGGGTCTTAATCCAGGGTCCACTTATGCTTCAGTGTCTTTCTCTAAGGAGAGAGTCAATAGCTTTCTTTGGCTTCTCAAAGTAGTACATGATACCAAGAAGGTCATTCATCTTTGGATTAGAAGGTAATCTTTCCAAATCCTTTTAGGCTATGTATATACTTTGAAAAACCTAGTGATGTCAACAGAAAAAAAGTGTCAAGCAAGATATTTAAGGTGCCACGTAACCAGAACTATCACAGAATCAACAACAAATAAATGAGTTTCTTCATTTCTAAATAACGCAATGATAAAAGAAGTGCCAAGGGAAGTTTGAAACTACTTTAAGCTGAATGATCATATTTCTATGTTTACAAATTCAGATCATATAGACAAGAAGATAAAGTGTAATCAATAACACTTCACATCTGTGTAGATTATTAATACTACTTTCATAATCAACTATTCCTCTTTACTTTTTGGGAACAAAGTGCAAAGTATCCCTACTTTGTAGATGAGAAAACAGTTATGAAGGTTATTGCCCAAGGACAAACATTTCCTAACCCTGACAGTTTTCTGATTTATAGGCCAAGGTTCTCCCCAGTGTTAACAAGCAATACAACCTTCCTTCTTGGGGATTTACACAGTAAACTTACCAGAAGGAAGTAAGAGCAGACTTTAGCTCCTTTTATGTTTTCTCTCCAGAATGTTTGTTCTGCTGAATCATTTGGGGCCAAATGGTAGGAGCAAAGTGATCTGAAGTGGTTATCTGTGGTTACCATCTTACAGTTAATCATTAAATGTGGGCCAATGAAGTCAAGGGGCTTGATCTGCCTCGTATCACTCACTTTCCACAGTAGGGACTGAAAGGGAGATCATGTATTGGAGCTTGTCCAAAAAATGAACCGCCTCAACTTCTTGAGAGGCTCATCGCGCTCAAAGGGTCAGCAGCGAGAAAAAGAATTCCAAGTAGAAGAAATTAGATATCCTATCCCCCTTTCCCTAGCCATCCACATGGACACCAACACCCTGTGGGTCCAGGCAGTCACCAAGCACCAAGCACAGATCTCTCCTCCCATCTCACCCTAGCCCCTCCCACAACCCCGAGCAAATAAAGCCACCTCATGCTGCCTGAAGCTCTTCTCTGCAAAGGTTTTGGTCTGCAGATATTTACTAAGAAGGGAAGGGCGGGTAAGAGTACGGAGTGGAGCAATACTAGAGAGAGGCCAGAACAAGAACTACGAGACCCCTCACCCTGGACTGTAAAATAAAAGGACACGCATTAACTGACAGCACAAGGGAGCCAATCGCTAACCGAGTGAGAGGCCTCGGGAGGTGGGTGGAGCTAAAATCTCCAGGGCCGGGCGCCGGCGCCGGCGCCAGACACGCTGGCAGGGCGGGAACCGCTCGTTCCTTAGCAACAGAGGCGGCCACGCCCACCCACCTCCCCTACTCCATGCTCGCCATCCCCACCCCCACCGCCAGCGCCCTGTACGCCGGAAGGGGTCCTTAAGTGATTACCGTACCTACTGGGTTTCCCAGGCTTCGGGTTCCCCGTCTTCTAGAGCCTCCCTACGCCCAGCCAGCCCAAGGGCCGCTCTCAGGGGAGGAACGACCATCTCCTAAACGCTTTGGGGACTCGCCAAGGACGTGCGCCCGCTTTCATCCCGGACCCCGAGCCTCCCTGGCAGGGCTGCCCCAGCACCCTCTCCCTCGCCGGACACACACACCTTAGCTCAGCCAAGGCAAGGGCCGACAAACTTCGTGTCCCGCTGGAAATGTTGCTGTCCACGGTCCTGTCACTCAGAGGCAGGGGCGGGACGAGTCGGCTGCACACCCCTACTCCCTAAGGGCTGTACGGAAAGAGGCGGGGCTTAGCGGAGAAGGACGGCCCCAGTCCCCAGCCTGCGCTCCGATTGGTCAATCTGTCTCCTTCCTCTGCGCGGCTTCTGGTCACCGAGGTGCTCTCGCCCCAAGGCCTTTCCCTCCTTCAGACAAGTCTCTAGCTCTAGTACCTGACTCACAAAGTGACCATAGAAATTAAAAATGAGAACTATGACTTGTTTTGTAAATATAAAAGACAAAAATATGTTCTTTACATACTGAACCCTCGCCACCTAAACACACACACAAACACACACACACACACACACACACACACACACACACATTCCCATCCCCAGTTTCCGGGGAGCATCCCCTGGAGGAAGCATGGACTACCTCTGAAAACAACACTGTTTGCAGATTCAAGCTTTTTACAGGAGATTAATCAATATAGGAAAAGTGATTCCTGAAACATGACCAACAACAAAGCTTTGGAGGTATGTCCGGGTACTCAGTGTTCACGTCTACCAAATGGGAATGAAATAATAAGTTATCAGTTATTATTTGGAAAGCATTTGACAATTGAATGATTTATACCTTTTAATCTTGTAATTCCCTCAATACCCAACGAGAGATGTTATTATCCAAGGCTTGTGAACAATGAAACTGAGGCTCAGATAGTTTACATGTATTCATTCAGTCATTCAATAAATGAAGAAGTGCCCGCAGTCATTATTTTTTATATCGTGGTACATTGGATTTAAAAGTCTTGCAAAAAGTGTGTGATTTTCTATTTAAGTTTTCTCTTGATTTAGTGTAAGTCATTTTCCTCCAGTCCAGCCTTTCATAGCTACAAAAAAATAAAAAGCCCTTGAGAAAATAAATACCATACAGAATACAGAAGGACTGAGACAAGTATAAACAGACTAACTAGAAGGTCTCTGAAATCTCCTAGGATATCAGGGCCAGGGATTGAATCCAAAATGTAATTTTATTTTCTTTTCTCCTAAATCATTTGCTGGTCTCCAGTTTCTCTCCCAGAAATAAAGGTAGAGTTAAATGAGATTATCTTAATACTCTTAACCAGATTTGTATGTGTGTGGCTTTAAAATAGTGTAACCCTTTTTCCTTCTATATTAAACCAATACCCAGAAGTGTTTATCTTGTCAATACAATAGTAATAATAAAGGAAAAACAAAACAAAATTTCTGGATAAGTGCTTTGAAATTCAATTAAAATGTCCAATATACTATGGTAAAATTGTTGGAATAAAGGAAACATTCCAATTGCAATTGATGTTATTCTCATGTCCTGCTGAATTTTCAAATTCTTCTGAAAGCTCAGTAACTATGAATACTGCTCTACAAAATTTCTTGATTTGTATGATTCGTGATCACCATTATGTTTCTTTAATCTTTTAAAAATATTTAGTTTTAGATTAAAAAGAAAGAGCTGTGATTGTATATTAATAAGTATGTTATATAAATAAATATTGTAAGATTTAAATAAAAGTGGTGAATTATTTATTTGAATCCTTTTTCAATTACATATTCAAATAAGTGCAGCAAATGCATTTGTTTGAATATTCTCACATATATAGGAGATTATACAATTAAATAAATGTATTGTATGCATGTAAATGTGTAATCATTGAAATAAACACAGCTGTATATTGCCCATATGTATAGCTCCAGATGTTTGAAGCATACATTCAAATTTCTGGAACTCTACACCTTGGTATCTAGTTAAATATCCAGTAGAAAATATTGTGCCATATATACATAGGAATACATTTCAAAATGTATTCGCTCTATCTGCAGCGAGGAAATAAGGTTAGAACAATGAAAAATGAGTCTCTATCACCGAATAACACTAGCCAACTTAACCTATATTAATACTATTGCAAAGCAGTCTTGCAAGTGTCTATCCAAATATTTAAACCCCCCAAAATAATGTTTCCAATTAACTTCTCTATTTTTGGAGTAGGAGAGTCTCATGTTATCCATGCCTCAATTTTTTTTTAACTTACATTTCTGCTCCAATAGTTGGAAATTATATAACTTGAAATTTCCCCATAGGCACAAATGTACATGAGAAAAAATTAGGAAGTACAAACTAACCAGTTATGAAATAAAATATATCTTAGGGACATTGAACAAGAAGTAAATGGCTTCATGTAAAATTAAAGCATCCAGATGTATGTTATGCATATGCTTGTTTCTTTACCATGTAATGACACACATGCTGTATTTAAATCTGTAGTAAGTTGAAATATAAATTAGAATCTAGTAATTATATGTGCTAACATCTTTGGTCTAGATGAATATGTATATAGCTTGAAATGTGGGGGAATCTATTTGTAAAAATTATGATTCTGTCAAAATATGTGAAATTCATTGAATATATTAAAATCAAATACAATATTAAAATGTCAAATTATTAAGACTTATATAGTACTTCTTTGCCTTAAATTTTAAAAGTTGAAATATCCAAGTTAGCTGTCTCAGTAGCTGGAATTCGTTGGTTAATAGGTCAAACACACATATTACCATTTCTGTTTAAGTCATCCTAGAACATTAGGGAGGCACGTAAGGTGAATTTTGTTTAAAGCATATATAGAAATGATTTTTTATGTGAGTTCATTTAAGAAATCCCTGTGTGTGATCTCCAGTATATGCTTGAAAATCTTGGTTTTAGCCCATAAAAATATATGGAAGCCACTTAATAAAACCTAGAAAATGGATATACCTTTTCTAAAGAAAAACATCCTTTACAAAACTCAGAAAATTAATAAACCATAAAATATTTTGATCAATTTGTGTAATATTTGAAATTATAGTTATATAGCATAATTTTAGAATAAACTCTCCCTGGAAGGAACAGACATACATTATCAAATACATATCTCAATGTTTGTTTGCTTTTTGAGTAATTGAACAAGATTGTCCCTGAAATCTAGAATAGAATTATTTATCTCAAAATATTCTTCAGATGATGAAAGAATATATATAGAAAATTATTTCATGTACATGGAAGAAAGATCACATATTATAAATATTTTGATGATATAATTTTAAATGGAGAGCGCCAGCTATTTAACTGGCAAATGACATGTAGGTGGAAAGTATATATCTGTAGCCAGTTGAAGATGTTCACATTTACTTTTTTTTTCAGTGTACTTAAAGTTTAATCCAATATGACAATGACTGAACATTCTGAAATTAGGATGCAATTTACAAATAATTCACTGACAGCATTTTCCCACTTCTTAGGGGTACCCATAATAATAATGGCCTTTTCAGAGGATAGCCCCTTTATATCCAAGTGGTGACTCATTAATCAAAACTGCTTTGATCTCGTGCCCCTTACCTCTCAAAACAAGGTCTCGGAATTTCTCACATCAGGAGAAAAGAGCAACTGCCGGTTTTCAGAGTTTCCACTGCTGCAGGGCAGAATTGAGGCACAGCATCGGGATGTACTTTTGTGTACTTTTGTCACTTATTATTGCTAAAGCTCATCAATATTATATTCATTTAACATCACACTGATGAAAGCAATCTTCCTATGCTCCCCCTGTATCTTAACCCCCAGTTTCTCCACCTCAGGTATTCCTGAGCCCACGTACCGACGCTTCACTTGTTCGTTTATAGTCAGGCATCACTTTGTAGTGCACTTTATATATAATTTACCTATTTATTATGTGCATTACTTATCTTTCTCTACCTCAAGAATGTAAGTTGCTTGAAGGTAAAGATCCCAACAGTTCTATTAACTGATGTACCCCAAGATCAGTGCCAGGCACCTAATAGGCACCTAATCAAAGACATTTTTGATTAAATTTAGTGTTCTGCTTAGTTTTGATTGATTTAATTCCTTATAATATTCTAGTGCATGAATATGCCACAACTCGTATATCTATTCTTCTATTGCAGGGCTTTGGGGCTATTTCCGGATTTCTTCTTTGATAAACAAGGCAGTTGTAAACGTTCTTACACAAGTTTGCTGCTGTAGATTTCCAAGAGTTTCTCTTTGATTTATAACTAGGAGTAGAATCACAATTTGTAAAGCATGTGCCCATTGTAAATGAAAGTATAATACCAGGGGTACTTGGGTAGCTCAGTTGGTTGAGTGTCCGACTTTTGACTTCGGCTCAGGAAAGATTTCAGGGTCATGGGATCTAGCCTTGTGTACGGCTCTGCGCTGAACATAGTCTGAATAAGATTTTTTCTCTCTCCCTCTGCCCCCACCCCAACTCGTGCATGCTCTCACTATATATATAATACAATAAGAACAAAGTATAATACCAATTTTTTTCCCAGGGTGTTATACTATTTTGCCCTCCTAACAGAAAAAAGTATCTGTAAGATGTATTGATCTTTTCAGAAAACCAAATTTTGGCTTTTAACTTTCTCATATTTGTTTTCTATTTCATTGATTCCAGCTTTTCTTTATTATTTCTTTTTTTCTACTTACTTAATTTTCTTATTTCTGTATATCATTAAGTAGAAAGTAAGATAATTGATTTAAATTGTTACCCTTTAAAATTATTGGTCTTTAAAGCTAGAGAATTACTTCTAAGGACTGCTTTAGTGATAGCCCATCAATTTTGATATGTTGTGCTTTAATTAGCATTCTCTGGAAAATATTTTTAAGTTTTTCTTTCTGTGAGTTCTTTTATCGTTGGGCTATTTATTTAGAATTGTCTTGTTTAGAGACTAAGCATTTGGGAGTTTTCTAAATGCCTTACTGTTAAGGACTTTTAGCTTAACTCCATCGTTGTTCAAGAACATACACTGTAAGATTTCAAACTTCTGAAAGTTATTGAAACTTATTTTATAGCCTGGCATATGGTTTACCTGAATGATTGTTCCCAGTGTACTTGAGAAGAAAGTGTATTCTGCAATTGTTAGATGTAGTGTTCTAGAATTAATAATATGCATCCTTAAATTATTGCTAAGATTCGTCAATATTGTGTACTTGTAATATTGTATTTGTAAGAGTGAGCCCTGTATGCCACACCTTCACAC